TGGTCTTGGAGGAAAAGGTACAAATTTTTTATTAAGTATAAGATCCTTAATTCCTTCAACGTTTTCTTTTAATTTTTTTGGTGCCAAATCTATGGGTAATGGTCCACCAGTCAAGAAATGAAACAATTCAATATCATTTCCTTTTAAGTAAAGATCCATGCCGTATTGTTCTTTGGCCTCCTTTAACAAATAAATGAATACAGGTAATGGAATACTCGAAGCCCATGGGCTCTTAAAATAATTTCGTGTAGTTTTGGACGTGTTATTTGCATTACTATTATTGTTATTGATGCCATTACTGATGGTTAATTCCATCAGAGCATTATCTGTTTTCCCAAACTGTAAATGCAACCTTTGTGCAAAATATCTAGGTAAAATCACTTTTTCTTCTGTGATTAGAAAAACGACCAATTCCATTGAGATAAAATTTTCTCCAAATCGGATTGCATGAAATAAGGCATTTGCTTTTCCGTAATTTTGAATTACCCACTTTGCACGAATTCTTGATTTGCTTGACATTCCATACCATTTTTTATTGAGTAAAATTAGGGAAAGAGGTCTAGGAGCGAATATGAAAATTTTTTCTTTTATTTCTTCAGGCAGAAAATTCATATTTTTTTATTTTCGTTTTTTTTTTTTTTTTTTTGAAGCATCATTGTGTGCTTGAATCCTTCCTTTATTTATAGACACGACGAACCATAAAAATATTCCGCATCGTGCAACAGAAAAATATTATCACATTACTTGATTATTTATTTAGTATGTGAATCCAGATTAGAAACCATTTTTATTTTTTACAATTGTATATTTTGTCTAGAATGACAATAGTAAGAATCCGGAAGAGCAAGGCAATGATCTAATTTTGACTATAATGCTGTCAATCTTGATTTTAAATAAATTGCCGTGTAATATTTTGTCCACGCCCCATATTTCTAAATATGCGCAATAGTTGTTACGTACGCTTAAAATGAGACATCATCTTGCATATTTCTACTAGCAATTCTTCTAATTCACCTGACTGATGCATATTTAATACAATATCACAATCACCAACAAATTCACCTTTTACATAAACTTGAGGGATAGTTGGCCAATTTCTGGTATATTAATTTATAAACAATCCAAAATGAATAAAATTGTCCTAAAAAGAATCAATAAAATAAATTCCTGTTTCTATTCAGTGATTATTAAGCAAATAATTACATACGAATATTCTTTGATTCCATTTCTTAATTCCACATCTTCTAACACATTTAAAGCCTTGATCTTGGTGCCTGCCATACCAGTTTGAGTGCGTGCTAATCAAATATGTAATATAGTTCCCATATTTGGTTAGAACTCCACGCTACGCACTCAGAATTCCGATACGTTGGTGCTATCAATTCTTAATAAATAATATAAAATAAATATACAAATAAAATATACATACAAATAAAATAAATCTCCATCCACACATGCGTGCTAAAATGCATAAACTTTAATGATAAGATGTGGGGAAATTCTTAAAAGGTTTACCTGGGGTTCACTAGGTGTGCCTTTCATAAACAGCACAACATCATTCTATGAAAGAAACCACCTGATTAATCTTGGCTTTGCTTTAAAAATAAAAATAAAGATTTTCAAACTATCTGATAAGTGTCTGGATGATAAAAAAAAATAAATCTTTGATTTGTTGTTAATGTAAATAATATTCTTGATGAATATTTTATTGGGTCAAAGTATGTTATCTAAAATATTAAAATATAAATTACTTGGTCAATTAATTAACAATTATTGTTTAATTAAAATATAGTTACTTAATTAATCATTAAACAACCAATCAATATTAATTATTTACTCTACTCTAATCCTATATTAATATTAAAACATACGAATTCTTTAAGCTGAAACATTAAAATTTTTTTTTCACAATCATTTGTGTTTGTATGACACGCAATGTTTTGGTGGCGTGTGACGTAGTTAAACTTGTGATTCAAAAAAAAATTTCTCGATTATTTATTTTGGGAAATTCATTTTAAAAAAAAACAAAGATCAAATAAACGTAAATAAAAACAAATACATAGTAATAGATAGATATCCGTTTTCTTCCTTATAAGATAAATTATTGTCTGGAGAATCCCATAAGAGATTAAGATTAATACAGTCATAATAATAATCTTATTTACACTATTGGAATGATTTCTATTTTTATCACTTCAAATATTATTCTTGCTATGAGACAACAATATTAAATATCTTTTTCTTCATATTCAAAACATTTTGTTGCTAACCCATCATGACTTCATTTTGAAAAATTTTTTTATCTAATAGTTACGATTTGCAAATTTTTTTAATTTACGACGGCAATAATATAAAATCCTTTGTAAATTAAGAAACATCCGAATTAATTAAAATAACGAAAATCTAATCAGCATTTACTCTCATTCTTTTTCATTTTTGTCATTCATCGTTTTTTTTTAAAAGATCTATTTTTTGAATGCTAATCTTTGGGAAATCAAATCATTCTAAACTTGTTTAAGTATATTAAAAAAATTTTTTATATTACGAAATATAAAAAGAAATTTTTTTTCCATTTAATCAAAGCCTTTGATTCTTTCATTTATGGTTATTGAAAACGCCAATAACAAGAATATTGGAAATTATGAATCCATAATCAACGTGTTGTTAGAATATTTACTTGGTATATGATCAAATGATCATTTATTTCACGTGCTAATTAATTTTAATTATACATATTAGGAAATTTATTTATTATAAAATGAATTAAAAAATCATATTAAAAGAGGTTAGCATAGTGGAAATTTGAAGTGTTACATGGAAAACATTCTGGTAATAAACTGGATAACAATTACTATTGTTTCTTACACTACTTACTAGATTTAGTAAATATTTGTTGGGGAAACGCATAAATTCTAAATAACTGTCAAATACAAATGAATTTAAAAAAAAAAACACTGAATATGTGTGATGTGTGGGGTAACCAAAATATTATTTCTTACACTACTTATTAGATTTAGTAAATATTTGTTGGGAAATTCTAAATAACTGTCAAAAATACATTATGAACACTAAATATGTACGGGGTAACCAAAATTATTTTTCACACCAACTAGATTTAGTAAATAATTGTTAGGGAAACGCAATTTTTGTATTTTTAAATAGCTGTCAAATACACATAAATTTAAAAAAATCATATTAAACAAAAAAAAAACAGTGTTGTTATATTATAGACAAGATTCTTAGAAATCAAATTTTTTTGTACCTATTTTGCTTCCAGAGTTATAAACGTTTTAAAGTTTCCGATTGTTAAAATCAATTTATTTAGAGAAAATCGTTTTTGCATAAACTGTTCTAGCTTCTCATACAGACGAAAATTTTTAATTCTGAAAGATGTTTTGAGCTTGTAAACATGTCTTTAGAATGTAACAGAGCCATATTTAAAAATATTTATTAACATTGATGTATTTTCATATTACAAATAAATCAGAATAAAAAAAAAAACAGCTCTTAATTAATTAAAGAGAATCATTTTTGCACAAACTGTTATAACTCATAATACAAATGAGAATTTTTAAACTCCGAAAAATGGTTGAGTTCACAAAACATCTCTCTACGATATAATAGAGCTATATTTATGCTGCAGATTTGTTGCAAGGCACAACAAAGATTTTCATTTTACACATAATTTCCTAATTAAAAAATGATTTTGAGATTGTATCATTAACCCAGTAAAGAAAAAACAAAGTGTTACATATTGTTCTTGGTGGTAAATGATTGTGCAAAATAAAGGAACAAAAAAAAATACTTTATCGATTATTCTGTATTATTAATAAGTGAAGGTAAAAGACCTCCTTTTCATGTATATTGTCATGTGAATATTTTACTAATAAGTTTAATTAAAACCCTTATCAGATTAATGTTGATATTGATTTGAAAAAAAGTTATTTTTTCGACAAGTTATAACTTGTCATAAAAAATAATAATAAAGAATTAGTTGAATTTTTTTAATTTTCCAAATTTGGATTACAAGTGACGTGTTCAAAGACGGACGACGATGATGTCCATACAATTATTACGTGATAAAAAAATTTTCCAATTCGTTCGTTCATTTTTATTTTTTTAAAGTTTCGTGATACGTGAAGCAATGCGTCATCGTGTTGTGCGTTGCACAGATGGGTAAATTTTTTTTTTTTTAAAATGATTGAATGACAAACAACAAACAACAAAGAAAAAATCAAGCACAAACGGTTTGAATAACAGTTATTTGGATCGAGGATAAGAAAATATTAATCATCATCGCAAATTGTTTAATCTATTTTGATTAACCATCTCAAGTCTAGCGTACTCGTCCATAACATTGTTTGAGCTCTGGTCAATGCAACATAAACTTGCCCTTTGGCAAACATGTTTTCATCCATGAAAACAGTTAGTTACATTAGGTGAGATCAATTCATGCGTTTTATGGCCGTGAGTGCGAAAGCATTCCGAGGCGGAAACTGTTTCCTAGAAGCTCTCTTTCCATCGATTTCAAAGTAATTTGTTTCTTTTTGGATCACCACTTTGCTAATGCTGTCAGCAGTTAGAAAGGTAACTTCTAAATTTCACAATCAAAGATCCTTGTCACAATTCCCTACAAATATTTTCTTCAAACAGTTTATTGTTTAGAAGGTAAATTTTTTGGGGCAAATTTGTGAAGCCATTGAATTGTCTGATGAGGTGACTTTCATCCAAATTTTCATAATTTAGGGATCTTCTGAAACCGAGACAATTGGATCATTGCACGTTCCAAAGGGTAAGGAATTACAAAGTAACGTGTTGATATCATCGACAGCTTGACGTGTGCCAACAACTTGCATGGTGTTGTAGAATTTATCAACATTGACGTTACTTTTGTCATTGATTTTAGCATTAATGATTTCCTTGGTCTCTTCATGCAACCTAGAAATTCGGACTTCCTGCAAGATTTATAAAAAATCATTTTGCTGTTTGTTAAGAACAAAGGAAAGAACGTTTTCCAAGCTGGCAGGCAAATGGAAAACTTGTAAAGGCAGGACTAGAGGCAATTGAGAAAGGTCGCTCACCACAAGTATGGGTACACAACCAAAGACAATGTTATTGTCGTGGGCTCTGGCAAAGGTATTGCTGACAAGTTGAGATTTCATCAATCACAACAACTTTGGTGTTTTTAATTCTTTTATCTGCAGGATTTGAGAGCATAAAGATTCACAACACCCACCCAATACCTCACTTTCAAGGCAGAATGGATCGTTTTTTCATCGATATTTTGACCAGAAACACCAGTTGGGCCAACAGAAGGTATTTTTTTTTTTGATTTGAAGAAATTGATTACTTGTTTGGCGACAAAGGATTTTCCAGTTCCCACAGATACGGTCAAGAAAAATTATGGATATTTTCTATCATGTCTCCAACCCAAGAATTACACAATTCACCGAATATCCTGTATTTCTCATCTTCAAAAGTCAGGGTGGTTTTGTATTGATGTAAGGGTGGTGTTTTTCCAGCAAGTTCAATTGTTGAAAATAATATTCATTTTTTACCTCAAGCAAGATCGATCCCAGGATCAAACTATACGTCTTGACAAGTGGTTTTTTCTATCCATATAGCTATTTTTTATCGATTATATAGCCTGCTCGTATCTCAGCAGAAACGTGGCTTAGAACTATTTCCTGTACGTGGGGCGGTCACTTTTTAATTACAACTCTGATCTTACGGGGATCCTCATGATAAGGTGCTGGTAAAAAAAATGGTACACCATCCTCGGCTTTATAAAATGTGAAACGTAGGAGCGCTAGGACTCTTTTCTGCACAATGACCGCGATCCCTGACCGAGAACAATTTGATTTTGCACCAGGTGAATTAGATCTTATCATGTAGCTCTTGAATTAATCAGGGTACGTTAGGTTGTGGAAGAACTCATGATCAGGCCTATCGAAATATTTATCAATAGCATCACTCCAATACGGGTTCGACATGTGATCGTTGCCTCTTCACTTTCGTCGTCATCATCATCATCATCATTAATTTCATTTTTCAACAGGTGAACTGACTTGTCCTGTATTCCGATGGCACAGAAGGAAAATAGCGGACACAAAACATCCGGTTATAGGGTGCTGTAACAAAAATATCACGATCTCCATGGTACCTAACCTCCACGCCATCACATGCTTCCTGTATTTATCCTTCTCATCTATATTACACAGTTCAGATGGTTCAGGTTTCATCACGTATTTTGTTATGTATTTGGCAAACCCGATCAAAGTGACGCACTGAAAATTTATATAGCCTTTCCAGAACAACAAAGTCTAACTCAATGAATTTCGTGAGCAGTGTGTCACTCCAGATAATGGTTCAGATAATGGTTGAAGGAACACTGTTCATTGTCAAAATCCTGTGGTCTATACTGAGATCGCGGTAATTAACTTGGAAAAACCTGACCAGGTTATACAACTCAATTTCCATGGCTGGTGTTCAACGGAATCAAGTCAGGATTTTTCTTTTCCGTGTAAACGAATGTATTGAGCCCGATTCTGGAATTCATCACGTTCGAAATAATGTAACATTTTTCCCACTGAACAAATTTTTTGGTTTTTCCATAATTTATTATGAACATTCCATCAGTCTGTTCCTGTAATGTGGCTAGGTGTGCAAGGGACGATTATTAGGAACGGTGTCATCCCTATTGGTTGCCTCCTTATCTTCGCCTATTGTCAGATCTGTGATAGCCCGTAGGCATTTATCATCGTGTTGACCTGGTGCTGCTTTTTCTTGAAGGAGGGAGCGACAATTCTCAAGTTTGAGGGCAGGATGGTTTTTTTGGATTCATTTAAAATTTTTCAATCATCCTAGGAGTTCTAAGCAATCAAGTTAAACCTGTTTGGATGGTACATGCGGCCCACGTTTCTAGTGGCCAATATCCTGTTTCTATTTTGAAAATTACGCTTCTTCTCGAGGTTCAAATGCGAAACGTGGAGCCAGCACCAGTATGATCAAATCGATCATCCGGAGACAACATTCCGATTTTGATGTATTTCCCGTAGCTGTATTTCCACGGTAGGAAGCTTAGCCATTTTTTAACGTCTTTGTAGTGAACGCGCCCCTTTGGAAAAACATCAGGGCTTCCAGATCAGGATTTTCGAATAAGACTGGAAGAGAGTTGTTATTGTTGGCTATCGATCCTTCTATCAGATGGTGGTAGTTCGCATTTTCATTATTTATTTCAGCAGGGAATGAATCGTTCGGAACGACCAGATCGGATGTCTCTAGACTCTACTTGGCAAGGTACTTTGATGTACGTTATACGATATTCCAGCACCACTCGTCATTATTGATTATTGCACTAGCGGCAATTGGAGCAGCGCAGGTTCTTCAGGCAAAGGATGTGTAATATCAGAGGCGTATTTTTTAATGAGTCGATTGTTTTTCTTGAGCCAGTTGAAGGCGGGGTTCAGGGGTTAATGAACGTTCAGGAAAGCCCCAATTGGTCCAGAATACAATTCCAGAGTATGATGATTGAGTGCTACGTTGATTTTCCCTTGCAGGCGAGCAATTCATATGGATGGGCGAGAAGTAAATGTGATTTAACATCGGGACATTCCGTATTTCAGAAGAATAGACACCAAGATCGGGGTAACTTCTATTTTTTTCATTTTTGCACCAATTGCAAACGGCAATCTGTTTTGTTCCATCATCGTTTTCTTTTATGAACGATGGGATATTCGAGAACGTCAGTGTTAACGTGTAATTTTCATCTTCATCGTAGGGTAACCATTTGACGCTGGGTCCATCATAATGATCGAGCAGTAAGCACACATGACATTCAGGTATTCAAATAGTATTTTGTTTTTCAAATTTCCACAAGAAGAAAGCGTTGCATCAATTTGGGAATGAGAGTGAGAATTGCCGACATGAAGGTTGAGGTTATTCGACAAATTTTGATTTATTTCACTTCAGTGGATCTGAGATTGAAAAATGACGTGGTCATTTTATTATTTTCAGAATTCCTTGAATTTCTTTATATTGATCTAGCGTGGATGTGGAAAATCGCGGACATATTTCAGCAGCAGCAAATGATAAACTGGCTAACGATTTCGATTTAGTGGTATATTTATTAGTTTTGGTTTTGGCAACGATTTATTGTTAGTTATTAGTGATTTTTTGCAAAATTGAATAATATTAGATATTTTTGCTTTATTTATTTTTTTTTATCATTATTACATGAAGGAATCGATTGCAAAAGAAAGGACAATTTATATAAGAATTTTATCACAGGATCTAACTCTTTGTTCCATTACAATTGGATTGAGACTTGCACGATTGTGTTTTTTTATTATTTAGGTAACAATGAATAAGGGATAACAGCCCAAACGTTTTTATTTAAATAAGGTGATAGTAATAATAACGACAGATAAGGGATAACAGCCGAAACGTTTTTATTTAAATAAGGTAACGATGGATAAGGTATAACAGCCAAAACGTTTTCAATTTATTTTAAATTAATAAGCTCTAACAACAGTCAGTAGAGATTCTGTAGAACTTTCAATTCCGTACACTATCCTTTTTTGTTCCGTGCATTTTTTATTTTTTAATTTTTGTACGGAATTTGTGAATTCTGAAAAGTTGATTGGTGGGGGCCAGTCTGTACGATTTTCGATTCCATATTTTGCTCCATACAGAGCATGATTTTGTATATACTCCTCTAGCAACACTAGTATCTTGAATAGAAAGAAAATCCTGTGTCATTTTACTGAGAATTGGATACTCTTTATAATGCGCCCCAAACAATAAAATTAGATCAGTTCTTTCATCAACCGGAAGAACAAGATGACAATCTAATTTTGACGATGATGCTGTCAATCTTGATGTTAAATAAATTACCTTGTAATTTTGGAATTTCCAAAATTCGGCCTTTTGCCCATGCCCATATTTCATAGTAAGGTTCGTGTTACGTACACTTGAAAAAAATGTCTTGCTACAGTGCAGATCATCTATTGCTGGATTTTTTAAAAAATCACCATCATTCAATTTTTCAGCTTTAAGACAAAAAATTCATGTAAGAAAAAAATTTGTCTCAATTTTTTTTGATTTTTTAAATTTGAGAGTTATGCTCGGAACTACAATAATAATTTTCGTGTTACAATACTTTTGAATTATATGACCAAATTTGAGAATGATGTTCGTTGAACTTTTTTATTGTAAAGAGCTTTTATTATTATTAAAAAAAGGAACCAAATAATCAATATGTTGTAAAAAATATTCGATGAAAAAAATTTTGTTAAAACCAGCCGATAAGTTTTGAAGCTTGAGTCATGAACAATAAGACTTATCGGTTAACTTTTTTAAAATGATATAAAAGTTTTTTGTTTTAATATTTTAATTGATTATAGATGATCTGCACCGTATTTTACATAAACCTGGGGCCAACTTCTGGTATTAATCCATCATAAACAATAAAAAAAAATGGATAAAATAGTTCCAAAAAGAATCAATAAAGTTTCTATTCTTATTCGATTTTAGATTACTATAAAGGATTATTGGTATTGTAATAAATAGAAAAATTTATCCCTCGCTTAAACATATAAATAAAAATAAGCATGTATGAAAACGTGAACACCTTGAGTGTTAAATATTTGAACTATAGCTCTGTTAAACCCACACTATACAGTCGAACCTCGTTATAATGGGCCCTCATTCTAACGGATTTTATACGATGGTGCCAAAATGTTAAAAGTTCGTTATAACACATATTTAATTTAGGTTACACTGTTATAATAATAACTGTCTGTATCCATTGATCACATGCACGAGATGCATAGGTATGAGAAATTCCTAAAAACTTACCATGTGGTGCATTAGGCGTGTCTTTTATAAACAACACAACATCACTGTTACTTACAGTCTAAAATTATGAAAGCAATTACCTGATTAATCTTGGTTTTGCTTTAAAAAACAATTAAAATAAAAATAAATAAATAAATACCTCGTCTGATGATAAAAAAAAATAAATCTTTGATTTGTTGTTAATGTAAATGATATTCTTGATGATATTTTATTGGATTAAAGTATATTATCTAAAATATTAAAATATAAACTACTTGGTTAATTATAACTTTGAAGGAAAATTTTTTTCACATCACGTGTTTTGGTTGTGTGTGGCGTAGTTAGGCTTGCGATTTAAAAAAAAATTCTCAATTATTTATTTTGGGAATTCATTTATATAAAAAAAAGAAAAGGATCAAAAGAAACGTAAAAAACAAAAACAAAAACATACATCTCCGTCTATCCATCTGTTTTCTTCTCTTCTTATAAGATAAATTATTGTCTGGAGAATCCCATAAGTGATTAATATCAATACAGTTATAATAATATTCTTATTTACACACTGAAATGATTTCTATTTTTATCACTTCAAATTTGAAATATCATTCTTACTATCAAACAAAAAAGAAACAATATCTTTTCTTCAAAACATTTTGCTGCTAACGCCAATGAAATTTTTTTGATGTAATATTACTTCATTTTGAAAAATTTTTTTACGTATAGTTACGATTTGCAAATTTTAATTTTTAGTTTACTACGGCCAATAAGATTTGAAAGACACCGAATACATATATATATAGATTAAGAAACATCTAAATAACGAATTTACTCATTCTTTTTCATCTTTGTCATACATCTTTTTTAAATGGTTTATTTTTGAAGCCAATAAATGCTAGTCTTTGGGAAATCAAATCATTCTAGAAATTGTTTAAAGTATATTAATATTAAAAAAATTTTTTACATTACGAAATATAAAAACAAAGTTTTTTTCCATTTAGTGAAAGTCTTCTGATTCCTTCATTTACAATTATTGAAATATTATCGGAGAATGCCAATAACAATATATTGATAATCTTGGAAATTATGAATCAACAATTAACGTGCGAATATTTACTTGGTATGGATGCACAATCTCTATCCGATAATCGAAATATTTATGCATTATTATGTCGCGTGTAATCACAATTAATTTTAAGTTTAATATTTGGAAATTTATATTTATTACCCGTGTAACCTTTTATATACGTTATTTATTATTATAGAAACGTGGGATAACACCCAATAGACTATGTAGATTCTTATGGTTATCAATATTATCAATAACGTCCCCCGGTTTTTTAATTAGTTATCATATCGGAAATTTACATAATATTTGTTATTATTTCATTTATGTTTATTATTACAATTTTTTCTTTTCTAAATACAACAAAAGCAAGAATTACAACGATTTCATATCATGAATCAATTATAAACGCTAAAAATTTAATCTTTTGGTGCGATTTGAAGATTTACTTGAACATTATTACAGTTTTTTATAGAAATTTTCAGCAAACTATAGCCAGCATTGTTTTTTTTCACGAGGAATTGTAATTGTCGGTCCATTAATAGCTGCTAATTCCACATTTGCCAATTTTAATCTTTAAGCAACTCCACCACAAAAACCACACAAGAAACATAACCAGAAATAGGTTTTGTAAGTGGTTGATAATGGTGTGTCTTTGTTTAACTCAGGATGTGTTAAAATTTGGTAAATTTCATCATATTTGAGTGGGTCAGATTTTTTCCGTTTGATTATGCTTAAATCTTGTATTTTTTTAATTTTGCCATCTATCTCTAGCATCTTATAAGCACGTATTACACGAATATTGAGGCCTAATTTCACGTTATTTACATTACTGGCCTGACAACGTTCATTCATCAAGGAAAAATGGGTTTTATATACTTTTTTTTTCAAAAAGAATCGGATTTCTTTTATTTTTAATTGACAAAGTTATAGAAAACATAGAAGCATGTAATTTTATATGCGAAATCTTCAAACTTAAACTATAATCTGACATATTTTGTTGTATAATTATTATGTACATTTTTGCGTTGGAATAATTGTTAAAAAGTTTCACGTCAAAATTTTGAAGTCAAAAATTTTGTGAAGGTTTAAAAAAAAGATGTGAATTGGCTTTGAAAAAATTGGCAATATAA